GAAACCCTACCCGCCTTTCTTACGCGTTCCGTCCTCTGGACTTTATCAAAGGGTAGCATAGAGTTTGACAGGGTGCCTTATGGATGCCTTATGCACACCCAGTGTGCATGGGGCTTTAGAGTTAGGGTTGCCACCTTATCCCTTTTAAACCTGAAGCCCCAACGCATTAACAGGTCCTGTATTCATGTCCTGGTGTTTTGTGTGTCCTACGGATTAATAAATACACACTATATTCATCTATGAGATCCCCACTGGAAGCCTATGTGGTTGAGCTGATATTAATCTTTATTGAGAGTAAGGTCCACCCTGAAAGGTGAGAAGGGTGGGGTCACGGAGATATCAATTAGTGCAGTATGCGCCCAGGGACAAATGCCTGGAGCCTGACTGCCTGCATTCTGGGCAATCCTCCCTGGGTGCATACTGCAATAAATGGATGTATGCTTGGTGCAACGTCCAGTGCCAGTAGCTGTCAACCTCTCATAAAGTTTGACAGGGTTCCACCAGTGGGGCGGGACAGTATGTGTAGGCAGGGGTTAGGTTCCCTTTTAGAACAACCTGGTCCTGTGACCTGTTAAACTACCATAAAAGAAGAAGATGAAGCTTGAGAAGGGGACTGATGAGATGGAGACGCCTGTAGAGTCCTCAGGATGTGTTAGCAAGGGGCCACCAGTGCTTTCCCATAGTGGGCCATGTCCAGTCTGCAGTACCTTCAGGGTATGGAGGAGTAAAAACAAGGAATAGAGAGGGAATGTTGGCTACCAATATCCTTCTGTTGGTTGGGTTTTTCTGTAATGGAAGATGTTCCCTGAGCTTGGGGTTATTATGTCGTGTGGATTTCAGCAAAATGTTGAAATGGCAAGATTGACTGGACATTCTTAATTTGGAAAAATAGAAGGCTTGCTCCCAATTTCAGGGCCTCAAGGCGGAAGCACGTGTACAGGAGACGTTGATATAGATTGTCCTGTGAGTAGGAGGATCTCTTAAACCCCATTCCATGACATAGGAAGGAGGTTGTTCCTAGGTCAACATGGGTGTTGCTGGTGTCAAATAGGGGTTCTGCTTACAGGCACCAATTCTTTCCACTAGCACCTAAATACAGGAGCTGCATGCATTGGGACTAACTGTCCAATATGCATGAGGCCTTAAGACCCAAATAGACAGCTCACATTTTGGCCGCTTCCTGCTAAAGAAATCTATGCTCAGCGTAAGTCCTCATTCATATCTACACACATACACTGGCAGTAACAGGAAGTTTACACATTCTCCCAGAGTGAGTAGTGCCTGTAAAACAAAATTTTTTTAAAAAGTCTAAAAATGCACAAAAATGCACAAAAATGCACGCACAAACGCTGGGAAAAAACAAATGACCAAAGACACTCATCTCATATGTGAATCGAGCCTAAAGCTGGCCATAGAAATGAAAGCATACAAGATGTGAACCTTTACCTTGTAAAGCAACCCATTCACATATATATATGACAACCCCTGAATATTCGATATACAATCGGTCTCAAATCTTGCTGCACCTCTTTATTGCTGCTTTGCTGTGCTACAAAATAGATACATACCCCCACCCCATAGTAGGGTTGCCACCTGGTTCCTTTAAAACCGAACACATATTACTTACACCGGTTCTGTGGCTGATTAACCACTTGCCTACAAGGCACTTATACCCCCTTCGTGCCCAGGCCAATTTTCAACTTTCAATGACAATTGCGTGGTCATGCAACATTGTATCCCTATGATAATTTTTTTCACACACATAGAGCTTTCTTTTGGTGGTATTTAATTGCCGCTGGGTGTTTTATTTTTTTGCACTATAAACAAAAAAAAGAGCAAAAAAAATTTGAAAAAAAAATAGTTTTTCTTTCTTTCTATTATAAAATTTTGCAACAGGTAATTTTTCTCCTTCACTGATGTGCATTGATGAGGCTGCACTGATGGGCAACACTGATGGGCACTGATGAGGTGGCACGGATAGGCAGCACTGATGGGCACTGATAGGCTGCGTTGATGGGCACTGATAGGAGGCATTGACAGGCAGCACTGATGGGCACTGATAGGTGGCTCTGATGGGTGGCGCTGACTGAAGGCACTGACTGACAGCCTTGACTGGCAGCACTGACTGATGGCACTGACTGGAGGCACTGATAGGCGGCACTGATGGGCACTGATGAGTGGTACTGCTGGGGCACTGATGGGAGGCACTGGTGGGTGGCACTGCTGGGCACTGGTGGGCAGCATTGCAGAGCACTGATCATCAGGGCACTGATCATAAGTGCCCTGATGATCAGTGCCAATCTCCTCTGACAGCTGCCGGCTATTGGCAGTATTTCCCTCACACTGTGACAGTGTGAGGAAAGTGCTGCCAAAAATCGGCAACTGCATTGACTCCGTGATCTGCTGTATCATTGGACACAGCTGATCACATGGTAAAAGGCCGCTGTCATTGGCCTTTTACCTCATCACGTGATCAGCTGTGACCGTAGGATGCGGGTGCGCACCCCTGGGGGCGCATGGGAGGGCGCGTTCTGGGAGGACGTCATATGACGCCCTCCCAGAACTGGATAACCGCGCTGTAGCCGTCATTTGGCTATAGCGCAGTTACCAAATGGTTAAGGTGGTAATTAAACTCAGTATTTTATCTGCATTAACTGATCCTCAGAACCTGTGTAGTTATTCTGTGTTCATTTTTAAAGGGATGAGGTGGCAACCCCACCCCATAGTTTTGTAAGCACTCTTTCAGCTTACAGAAAGTCAAGAAGTTTTGACTGCGACTTCTATTCAGATATCCTAACTTCTACAGATCCTATGTCTGTACAGGTATACAAACTCCATAAATAAACAGAATTCTGACAAAAATTATCCAACATTGAATTTTTTCACTGATAAAAGACAAAGGATATCTATAGCCAAAACTTTTTTTTTTAGTTTGGGGCGGAGTGGGGAAAGTTTAGCCCCCCCACACCTATGCAGTTTGTGTTTGATCCGTTTCTGCAGTGCTTTTTGCGGTGCGTTTTGCATTTTTGATGCTTTTTTTGATGCATTTTATGGGGTTTTTTTGCAAACCTGTTGCTGGGCAGATTAAAATGCAAAACTCATAAAAAATGCATAAAAAAACACACTCCTTGCATTTCTGCAGGGTCTCCATTAAAGTTTATTGAACCAAAAAGCAACGTTTTGCTTTTAAAAAAGTCCCTGACCCTATAAAAAAAAACGCACCGGGTGAAAACGCGAGATGTAAACGTGTCCCATAGGAAATAATGTTACATGTACTGTAGTGTGTTTCTGCAAAATGCAAATTGCGCCACAAAATGATTAGGTTTGAACCTAGACCAACAGAGGTTTCTTTGTAGATTGTGTTTAATCAGCAGTAAACTGCTGCCATCTGCAGGTATCTCAGCAATGCGTTTGTGAAGTAGTTCGTCTAATGCCCCGTACACACGATAAGAAAATCGTATGAAAAATTTCACGGAACCGCTGATCGAACAATTTTCTCTTTGTTGATGAGCAGGGTGTTTTAAAACGATAACGATATTGTAAATGAAAAAATCCGGTTGAACAACAGTGAAAAATGTTGTCGTTTCGCATACGAATGACCGATTTTCTATGCGGTGGTATGACGGTCGTATGAAAAAAATCTATCAAGCGCTATCACGCATTAGCGGAAACAGAAGATGGCCCGGATGTTTATGGCCAAGGAATCTTCGTAAACATGAACGAAAAATCCAAATGTTAAAAGTAGATTGGCCTAATGAGATAATGAAACCAGAATTCTGCAGATTATATTTATGTATCACTATTTATGTATATAGGTCATATAATAAACGATATTATACTCATTGCTGGTAATTGTTGTGTATATCGCTCATTCTGGGCGGCAGGACGTGGCTACAAGGTCACACGCACACTGCATCACTTCCACTTGTACAGAAGACGTCAACACTACGTATTGCCCGACGAAACAATTTTTTTAGATTGGGTCACGATTTCGACCAACGAAAACGCCTCTCGGTCGTTGGATGACTGATCGGTCGATTTTTTTAATTGTGTATTCCCACACCTTAAGACAGCCTTTTTCAACCAGGATTTCTCCAGAGGTTTCTAGGAGTTTCTTCAGAAGAGAGCAGCCTAAAGATGCCTGAATAGTTTTGGGGCCGCTTGTCAGAGCCGGCAGCCCGGATCAGTGGAATCTCTTTTCTTATCTCTAATTATTAGTGACACCACTCGTCTTTTTAGCTGTCTGATGGATGGCATTCTTTCCAGTGATTACAACTGTAAGGGGCATTATTCCTACTGACCACCAATGTAAGGGGCATTATTCCTACTGACCACCAATGTAAGGGGCATTATTCCTACTGACCACCAATGTAAGGGGCATGCCTCCCACTGAACACCAATGTAAGGGGCATTATTCCCACTGATTACCGATGTAATGGACATTCTTCCCGCTGACCTCGAATGTAAGGGATATTCTTCCTACTGACCACCAATGTAAGGGGCATGCCTGCCACTGAACACCAATGTAAGGGGCATTATTCCCACTGATTACTGATGTAATGGACATTCTTCCCGCTGACCTCGAATGTAAGGGATATTCTTCCTACTGACCACCAATGTAAGGGACATTCATCCCACTGACCCCAATGTAAGGGTCATTCTTCCCACTGACCACCAATGTAAGGGACATTCTTCCCACTGACCACCAATGTAAGGTACATTCTTCCCACTGACCAACAATGTAAGGGACATTCATCCCACTGACCCAATGTAAGGGACATTCTTCCCACTGACCCCCAATGTAAGGAGCATTCTTCCCACTGACCCCAATGTAAGGGACAATCTTCCTACTGACCACCAATGTAAGGGACATTCTTCCCACTGACCAACAATGTAAGGGACATTCTTCCCATTGACCCCCCAATGTAAGGGACATTCTTCCCACTGACCCCAATGTAAGGGACATTCTTCCCAGTGATCACCAATGTAAGGGACATTTTTCCCACTGACCAACAATGTAAGGGACATTCTTCCCACTGATCACCAATGTAAGGGACATTCTTCCCACTGATCACCAATGTAAGGGTCATTCTTCCCCACTGATCACCAATGTAAGGAGCATTCTTCCCAATGACCACCAATGTAAGGGACATTCTTCCCCACTGATCACCAATGTAAGGGACATTCTTCCCCACTGATCACCAATGTAAGGGACATTCTTCCCACTGATCACCAATAAGGGACATTCTTCCCACTGATCACCAATGTAAGGGACATTCATCCCACTGAACCAATGTAAGGGTCATTCTTCCCACTGACCACCAATGTAAGGGACATTCTTCCCCACTGATCACCAATGTAAGGAGCATTCTTCCCAATGACCACCAATGTAAGGGACATTCTTCCCACTGATCACCAATGTAAGGGACATTCTTCCCACTGACCACCAATGTAAGGGACATTCTTCCTACTGACCACCAATGTAAGGGACATTCTTCCCCACTGATCACCAATGTAAGGAGCATTCTTCCCAATGACCACCAATGTAAGGGACATTCTTCCCACTGATCACCAATGTAAGGGGCATTCTTCCCCACTGATCACCAATGTAAGGGACATTCTTCCCAATGACCACCAATGTAAGGGACATTCTTCCCACTGACCTCCAATGTAAGGGACATTCTTCCCACTGATCACCAATGTAAGGGGCATTCTTCCTACTGACCACCAATGTAAGGGACATTCTTCCCACTGACCCCAATGTAAGGAACAATCTTGCTTCCCCTGACCACAATTATAAAGGGGGTTCTTCTCCACTGACACAGTAGGGATGAGTGAAATTAAAAAAAAAAAGATTTCACCAGGATTTCATCAAGAATCTGAAGATTTTATTGAAATGCTGTCATTTTGACAAAACTCTATTGAAATCGATGAGGCAGTTGATGTTAAAGTGGTTTTTAATGCTGCTCAGTAATCAAGAAAGCATCATCAAATACAAGCAATGTAGGTACTCAAATTTGGCCTGGACCCTTGCAGTTCTTGTACAGCAGGGCTGGAGTGTATCAGCAAGAAGCAACACAAGGAATCAATCAGTTTGAGTGCTGACAAGGAGCATGCTGACAGAAGGAGAGATAAGAGTGACAGTGCTGCTTCTCCTTTCACTGTCCATGCACGAGCTGGGATGGGTCTAGTATGGTCTGGGTTAAATGAAGTTGACTATCAGACTGAGGACATCTAGTGGAAAGAAGTACTGTGAAATTTCTGGATTGGTTGTGACTATTGCAGCAAAAGTTGGTTTTGTTACTTTATATTTATGCTGTAAAGTGGTTCTAAAGCCTTAAGGTTTTTCACCTTAATGCATTCTATGCGGGAAGGAGGGGGGAGGGGCAGGCTGGGGCCATGGAAAGTGGCTTTCCATGGGGGCACTTGCCAAAGAGGAGGAAGTGTAAACTCTCCAGCACCTCAAGGGAGCCAATGCCAGGGGAAGGCCAAGAGATCATGTGTATGGATAACGTTCCAGAGATGCAGCCCTCCTCAGATGGGGAGATCAACAAACTGGAAGAAAGCACACAGGTGGCACAAACACCTAATGCATTATTTATTTATTTCAGGTACTTATATATCGCCATCAATTTACGCAGAACTTTACATACATATTGTACATTCACATCAGTCCCTAACCCTCAAGGGGGGTGTACAATCTAAGGTCCCTAACTTACATTCATACATACACATACTAGGGACAATATAGACAGGAGCCAATTCACCTACCAGCATGTCTTTGTAGTGTGGGAGGAAACCGGAGTACCCAGAGGAAACCCATGCAGGCACAGGGAGAACATCCAAACTCAAGGCAGGAGGTGCCGTGACTGGGATTTGAACCAATGACCCTAGTACTGCCAGGCGGAAGTGCTAACCATTTAGCCACTGTGCTGCCCCAACTCTTACCACTCTTAACCCCCTCCCCCCCCAGGTTTATTAAAAGTATAACAAGACAAGAAATATACTCACAAACATAGCATGTATGTAAAGCCTATAAGGCCATGGAGATAGCCACAAGGATGGCAGAGTGTCCAACTGATGGTGCGGTCGGCCTGTTGACACGTTTCGGGGACAAATCCCTTTCCTTGCTGCCAGCAAAACCCTGGTGATAAATATCGCATCTTTTTTAGCTTTCTGTTGTGTTTGTTTAATTGGACTTAACAGCTTACCATATGTTTTTTTTTGCAATATCTACCGACACGGTTAAAATTTTGCGGTAAATGCCACAGAATCGTTATTTTTTTTGTGTGAATTGGACATTTTGTTACCGTATGTGATAATTTATGCAAATGAGTCACATGACAGTGTTATGGTATGCGGTAACCTTTAGTGAATTGACCCCTATATTTACTTTTTGTTTTTCAATTTTGTACTTCTTTTATTATGAAACAAAAAAAAACTAACAAACAAATTAACTGTTAAAGAGAAAAAGTTAAAATATTAATGCTTAATAAAACAGGCATAAAAAACTGCAGGAAAATAATAGTTGAAGAGAGAAGGTTAAAATGAGTCAATTAGGGCTGATTAGTGTAAAACAGTTAATAATATTTATTTCAGGTACTTATATAGCACCATCAATTTACTCCGTGCTTTACACATCTATTATACATTCACATCAATCCCTAACCCTCAAGGGGTGTACAATCTAAGGTCCCTAACTCACATTCATACATACACATACTAGGACCAATTTAGACAGGAGCCAATTAACCTACCAGCATGTCTTTGGAGTGTGGGAGGAAACCGGAGCACCTGGAGGAAACCCACTCAGGCACAGGGAGAACATGCAAACTCCAGGCAGGTGATGCCATGGTTGGGATTTGAACCAACGACCCAAATACTGCCAGGTGGAAGTGCTAACCATTTAGCCACTGTGCTGTCCACAGGTCATAATATGTTAAAAAGAGACACATTTTATTTAAAAAAAAAAACTTTTTTTCTACTTCTCAGGCTGCTTTAAAGTAGTAAACCCTCAGCATTTTATAGCTTAACATGTTGATCACAATAAAATAAACATTCCCAAATAAACTTTGTGAAAATATTCTTACACCAGCACTTGCATATTACAAATTTCAATGCGGCTGGCTCCTGCTCTCTCCTGAACTTCCAGTCGTCACAGGAAAGATTTAGCAGTGAACAGTGCAATCTGGAGTCAGTCTATTAACTTGAAGAAGGGAGGGAAGGAGGAGGAAGGAGAAGCAGGGGAGTGCCCTTTCATCCTGATCGATGGGGCTGTGTGTTTCTATTGATGCACACAGTGTAGAGAGACACAAATCTAGTCCATGCATGTAAGGGTGACTCCATAGCATGCTGCAAGAGAAAGGAGCTACTCTGAAACATGAAACCTGGGGCAGTGGTCATGACGCCAGCTTAAATACAATCATAGACAAAAATGTAACAATAAAGAAGCTGCAGATTCAGTAAGTAATTTAGCCCCAGTTCACACTGGATCAGACTTTGAAATTGTGCGACTTCACTTCAATGTTGAATGGCAGTGCGATTTCAGGTGCAACTTGATGAACATCTGTGTGACTTCATGCACAGATGTCTATGCAAGTCACACCCGAAAACGGCAAAAGTAGTGCAGTACTTTTCAAATCAGAAGGATTCCATCACTGGATTCAATAAATGTTATAAGATTTAATTAGAGAGAGAAAAGTCAGAATACCTCATCTCTGTACTTACTAAAGTCTATACTATACTTACCTTTACCAGACTCTTGAGCATTCAACACATACAGGAGTGTTGAAAACATGCCCCCCTTTTCATGTGCTGTGGTTCCATCCTCTGATCCCTACATCCTTGCTCAATCCTGTAGTAAGTTAGGGGTTTGGAGGATGAAACCATAGATTGGTGGGGGGCTCGGGATTCTAGATTTCCTGGCAAGTACTGAATGTTACACAAAATTGCCAGAGGTTTTTAAGTTACGCTATGTGATTGAAAACATAAAACATGTAACGAATATAAAGTAGGTGTTATCCTAATTTAGCAGCAAAAGTAGAAAAATATACTTTGTATTTGCATAAGGATGTAATACTCTCTGAAATACACAAGATGGCAGAATTGCTTTGTGAAAAAAAATCTCATTGGCCTGCATCTCCACATTTCTACACTAATTCCTTGTCTGCTCTCTCTCCCTCCCTCTGTATATATATGTATATATATATATATATATAATTATAATAAAAATTATTATTATTATAATACAGGATTTAGCCCCGACAGTTTGTGCAGCGCTTTACTCTCTCTCTCTCTCTCTCTATATATATATATACATTGTGCCATCAAATTCTTTAAAGCTTTATAACGTACATATAACCATTTGGCCATTTGCCATTGTCCCTGTGAAGCTTACAATGTTATGTACATGTTAGTACAAGGTATTTAATAAATACTATAAATTTAATTTGATACATATTGATCACTCTTCCACTGCATACAGTAAATATAATATATATACTATAGTTGATGACACTTAGTAATATTTTATAAGAGTACGTGCCCCTTCACAGCCACATGGAAGAAAAATATATTTGAAATATATTTTGAAAATATTATTCCCAAATATTCTGACATATATTTGAAATGCTACAATTTTGGCCATATTCAATATATTTAAAAAAAAAAAAAAAAAAAATATATATATATATATATATATATATATATTGTATTTTGAAATGTGTTTTTATTACAAAATATATGAAAAATATTCTCAAAAAATACATTTCAAATATACTGTATGTCTTTAAACATACAAATCTACATTTTTGGAATGCATTTACAAATATATGTCAAATTATAAGTTAAAATTACTTTTTTATATGTTAAAAAAAATCTGAAGAATATATTTTAAAAAAATATAAAATTGCAAATATATTTTCCTTCCATATGGGCACCATTGCATTTTGGCAATGTGTGCTAGAACCAGGGGCGGACTGACCGGTTGGAAACTCGGGCACTGCCCCAGGGCCCGGGGTCAGTAGGGGGCCACATGAGATGCCCCTGGTACCTTTTTCATAGGCTTTTTTGAGTTTGGGCAAGGACACAGGGGCCCCATGATCCCCTATTGCCCAGGGGCCCCATGAGTTGTCAGTCCACCCCTGGCTAGAACCCATCATGCATGCAGTAGTGCAGTACGGTGTAATTTATTTTAAATAGCACTTTTATGCTTTTGGAGAGTACAGCTTCATCACAGCCCTATAATTCCATGTGCTGAAGTGCCTTGACAGCCCATTTATTTTCAAACCCAAAGCGTCAAATGGTCCATCCAAGGGGTGATTAAATGGCTGAGGGTAAGTAAATGATGGAAGGTTGATTTGGGTCAATTAATATTTTGATGTCTATGTAGAGCTCCATGCCACTCCTCAGTCCCATTAATGATATCAGTTTGAGTAGAAAAGGTATGTTAAGTCTTATATTTTTCATATTTTAAATACTATTTCTGTCCATTATTATTATTAATAATAATAATAATAATAATAATAAAAAACATAATGAGTTATTATTATTGCTTTTCTTATTTATGGTACTTCTATTGAAAGCAGCATTTATTAAATTATTTTTATATAATAAATGTTTGGAGGGGTAAATGAACAACCATAAAGGAGTCAAGAAGCTGAAGAATTTGGAGATCTGGGGGTCAATGAAAAGTCATGAAGGAGTCGAGAAACTGAAGAAT